CTCCCTCCCTCCCTCCCTCCCTCCTTCCCTCCCTCTCTCTCTCACACACACAGAGACCATTTTCTACAGAGAACATTTTGTAATAAATCTAGCTGTTGTCCATAATATGAGGCTTAATGTTAACTTGGATTCCCCAAAGATCATCATATTGGGATTGAAGCTTTGTAATTAGTTTGTGTGAATAGCAAATTATTCAAAATTGCTGACAATTTCAATTTAATTAATTGGAAATAAAAATGGCATCTGATAGTAGAAAGCTTTTTTGCCCTTTTTAAAGCATGTGTAAGCTGTAAGAGGCAATACCCATAACAAATCAGAGTGATATCAAAATGATATCTACATGCTGATATCATCGTGCAAATACCACAGCTGTGCAAAGACAGGATTGGGGGCAAGTGTCAAAATATGCACCATGACATCACAAAACAAAATGCATGTGATGTTAAGATGCTTGTATGGAGCTTATGTCATGCATTTGTCATTTTGATATAATTGCAGATAGAAGCAGACACCTAATTATGTATTGTATCATAACATCTGATACAAGTACATAAGTTGTGGTATTTGCATAGTAATGCAGCCGTGGCATTACACAATGTCATTGTGCATGTGCCCTTTATCCCCATTGTTTTGTCCCTCTGTGGATGCCTATGATTGAAAGTCACTTTATAGGTCATCCAACACCTTGCTCATTTTTCACCTTCTGGCAGATTTGGGATTTGAATTATACTCAACTTGGAAAATGGTATGATGTGTTTTAGCAGCCAGAATGTACATCTGCTTTTTTAAAAATTTCCTTGACTGTTTTTTAATGTCTTGTTGGGCACCTAGAATCTCTCTGCCAAGTGGGCTATCAAATAACTTGATTAAATGAATGGATCAATGTTGATCATTGTTTTCAGTGACAGGAAAAGAGAATCAGGATTATGGTTTAAGCAAGGGTTAATAAGTGATAATTTCGTTCAGTTGGTTGTGACCCTAAGCTATTAGAACTCTTACATCCACATATTGCGCTGCTCTGTAGTTTTAAGTATTGTTTCTTGAAAATACCTTGCTGGCTAATTTCGTAGAATATGCCATAAATTATAATCAAATTACGATAACTAAAGTTTACATAACATCCATAAGTTATATTATAGCTTAGTATGATGCATGAACCTGCCAAAGGGAATGGAAGATGAGGCACGGTTGTGAGGGAGCTGCAAATTTTACTTGGTTTCTCTCCCCTTCTAATATTTATTCTTGAAGCATGCTTGGCTGAACATGGTTAGACTGTTCTCCTCCCAACAATGATGGATTACCTTCCCCAAGTCATCATGTATCAGGGATAGTAAGAGACACAGTTTTATTTAAAACTTGGCTTTCTGATTCAGTGCTGGTACTGAGGAAACGGAATAATAATGTATTTGCTGTGTTACGCTAAAGAAGAAGTAGCCAAGTATACTGTTTTTAAGGACACTATTATTATTATGATGTTATAAATATTACTCTTGGGGAAGGGGGCACTGAGCTTGTCAGTAGGAAAGCTGACTGGTCAGGTTCAAGACCCAAGCACTGTGCTATGGGGTGAACTCCTGTTACTTGCTCCAGCTCCTGCCCACTTAGCAGTTGGAAAGCATGCAAACGTGAGTAGAAAAATAGGTACCACGTTGTTAGAAAGGCATCAGTGTTCCTTGGCTGCTGGCCACATGCCCACAGAAGCGTCTTTGGACAATGATGGCTCACTCGGCTAAGAAAGGGAGATGAGCACTGGCCCCTAGAATCAGACATGACTGAATAGGAGAAACCTTTACCTTTTATAAGTATTGCAGGTAGTCCTTGACTTACAACCACAACTGAGCCCAAGAATTATGTCGCTAAGTGAGACATTTGTTAAGCGAGTTTTGCCCTATGTTAAGAAATTGTGACCAGTTTCTTGCCACAATTGTTAAATGAATCACTGTAGCAGCACGGTTGTTAAGTGAATCCGGATTCCACATTGACTTTGCTTGTCAGAAGGTCGTAAAAGGGGATCACATGATCCCACAATACCGCAAGTCATAAACATGAGTCAGTTGCCAAGCATCTGCATTTTGATCATATGACCGTAAGGATATTGCGACAGTCATGTGAAAAATGGTCATAAGCCACTTTTAAAAGTGATATTGTAACGTCAAACAGTCACTAAATGAACTGTTGTAAGTCAAGGACTTCAGATTGTCTCACGAGGTATAGATATTTGTTAATATTTTTCATAATGACAACCTTTGAATAAGTTCTGTGTACAGTCACAATTAACAGAGAGTGCTTAATTTGAATCTCTTTAGTCATTTCCTACATTCTACCTTGCACTTGGCTAGGAAGAATTTATTATTTAAATTAAATATACATTATTTTATTCTTTTTCTTCACATTCCTCAGGTGCTTTCTGTAATAAATTAAGAAAAAAAAATCTGGAGATCTTTGAAAGCTTGTACATTTTGTGACCCTTTTTTGGCTTAACATTAATATGTATTAGTTAATGTGGTTTTTAGAGTATTGCATCTAATTAAGATGTCAGCCTCTGATTTTTAGTCATCAGAGTTAGGTATTTTCCATTGCAATTATCTACTACTTTGTATAATTACATAATTATATTCCTTGCTTGAATACTTTCTCCCTGAGGATAATGTAATGATATTTAACAGAATCAAATGCACATTTCTTCCCTTAGAAATCATAAATCAAATCTACAAGTATAGGATGGAGGACATGGTAATGTCTTGGTAATAGAACTTATGCAAGCATTTCGAAAAGATAAACAATTGCATACAATATATGAGTGAATGTTGCAATGTGGCTGCAAAAAAGGCAAGCACAATTTGTATATTTTTCAAATCATAGGAAAAAAGTGCTCTCTTTCATTCTATGTTGGCCAAATCACATGCTGAATTATTGTGTACAATTTAGAGCATCACACTAAGGAGGATTTAGACAAGATTCAGAAAATAACAGCAGAAATAAATGCAAGGGAATTTAATATGCTCCAGTTATTGTGTCTGCAACTTTAGGATTATATTACTCAATGGCAGCTGTGTTTTATGTACTCCCAAACACAGAGACTTTCACAAGACCATCCTAATGTCCAAACACTTTATTTTGCTTACTATTGATTTAAATTCCCAAGAACAAAAGCAGGGTTGCCAAGATTGATCAAACACGCCTGCTTGCAGAAGAATCATACTATGAGGGGTCTTTGGTACTCTCTGAGCTTGCTTGTTTTCTTGCAGACGTTTCATTACCCAAACTAGGTAACATCATCAGTGTTAGTAAGGAGTGTGGTGTTACTAGCACTGATGATGTTCCCTATCTTGGGTAATGAAACGCCTGCAAGAAAACAAGCAACCTCAGGGAGCACCAAGGACCCCTCATGTCAACCCTGAGGTACAAATATTTTTTATTAGAATCATACTACTTTACTCCTGAATTCACAGATTGCACACGGTCTTATTCTTTAATTAGGCATGAATCTGTATGAATGCAATTTAGTCAATAAACCACATCTAAGACAACTATGGTTTTTCATGGAAACAGATTTCAACCACCCCAGGTAAATCCATAGTTTGCTTACTCCTAATTATTTCGCTAAGCCCGACCTGTCTCCGCTCACACATAACGTGTGACTTAAATGCACATCTTGATTTATAAGCCACAAGTAAGCAAACCACAGCCTGTTTTACACAGCTGCATAAATATGTTCGCCCGCTATGGTTTCTTCCAGATTACTTGAGGGATGCAAGAGACTTTTGAAGTTCCACATAAACATTTAGTGGAACCCAAATTATGTTAGTATCAAAGAAAAAGATCAGCCGGGACAGACATGTTTCACCCTGGCACGACTTCTATCCTTCGAAGAGCTTCGTGAACTGGAGGGCAAAGCTGTACCGAACGCATTTCAGCCCCCCCCCCCAACAGTTCTAAGTTGGCTCCAAAAGTAGCAGCTCTGCAATCGCCTTAAAGGCGCAGGAGATCCGTCGGGAGGGCGGGGGGAGAGGGGGGGGGAAGACCAGGAGCGGCCCCGAAGGACCGACAAGGGGCAAATGTCTGGCGTAGCGAGGCGCTGGCGGTGTCTTTAAGGCGCTGTCCCCGCCCTGTTTTCAGACTGCTGGACACCCCGCCTTCCTCCTGCCGAACCGGCGGCGGAGGAGCGAGCAGTACCGTGAGAGGCTACGAGCCGCAGGTGTAGGCAGACGAGCGCTCCCGGGCGGTGGCGTGGCCGGAGGAGGTCATCTTCGTCGGCAGCCATACCGCTAGCTCCGGCGGCGCTCCCCGAAGCACCGATCGCCCGCCCGGAGGAAGGGATCTGCCCACGAGGCTGAGCTGGAACATGTCGGTGGTTACCGGAGGTAGCGAACCGGGCCCCGCCGCAGCCGCCACCGGGGGAGGCGCCGGCGGAGGGACCCGGGTTTTCTTTCAGAGCCCGCGCGGAAGCGCCTCCCGGGAAGATTCGGTGGGCCCCGCCGTGGTCCAAGTCCAGCAGCAGCGGCGCCACCAGCAGGGCAAAGTGACGGTCAAGTACGATCGGAAAGAGCTGCGTAAAAGGCTAGTGCTGGAAGAGTGGATCGTGGAGCAGCTCGGGCAGCTCTACGGCTGCGAGGTACCCGTCGTGGTCGCACCCCTTCGCAGTCCGATTTACTCGCCCTGAACCGTGGAAGCGCCCGGGCCCGTCGAGGGGACCGAGGCAGCGTGCGCCACACCCCTGACGGTCCCGCTTCCCTCCTCCTCGAGAGGAGAGCTGAACCGGGAGCTGTGGAGTTGGCTCTCCCTGCCTGCTTTGTGCAGCCGGGGGAGAGCCAGCGCAGCTCACGGCCACCTCGCCGGGATTTTTAGCTCACCCTGGCGACTCCTTGCTTTGCGGGATTAAGTCCCTCGCTCTCTACTACTAATGTATTTGCCGTTCGGATGTTCCGGAGTAGAGACGGAGCCATCCGTCCGCAGGCGAGGAGGTCCTCCTTTCCTAACAGTTTGGAGGTTTGGTGTATGTAGTTTGCCTTAGTGGGAGCGGGCGTTGAATGTCTCTGAGCGCTGCCACCTCCAAATGACATTCGTGGTCTTCCCTCTCCCTTTTTTTTGGCCGCCTTTTCCTGCTGCTGCTTCTCCTTTTATTTGCCTGGGCATCCATGAAGGACTCCTATTTTGCACACAGTCGTTAGTTACCTCTGCTGTTTCTTGAAAATAAGTAGACTGCATATATACAGTTTGGTGGTGGTGGGGAGATAAGCTTAGCATTCATGCATGTACCATGTGATACATGTCACACACTCTGTTTCTGCCTACATCAGTTTAACTGAGATCCTTAACCCTGCAGGCAGTGAAGCTCTGATTTATTCAAGCCCAGAAGAAGTCCTTTTTCTGCCTCCCTGGGTTTAAGATTCCTAGCGACATATAATACTTCACATTTTTTGCAATTATAGATGCAGTTTCTGTTCCTCTTTCTGACTGCTAAATTTCCTCTATCTGTGATTCTAAACTGAAGTTTTAGGATTAAAATAGGTTTTAGTAATCTCAGTTGATTAGGTAAAGAGGGCTTTTCTGATCAAATAAAGCTACCTACTGTGAGAAGAAGTTCAGGGAATGAACCTTCTGCATTCTTCTTTCCTTCCCCCAAGTATATTTAAAGCTTGAGCTGGAATCTGTTGAGGCTTGTGAACAGAGAAGTTCAATGAGAACCTGATTTATTTTCCTCTGCACCAAGGATCTTCCTGTTGAGTGAAAAGTGACATTTCAGTGGGATTATTAGTTGTCCCTAGAGTCAAAAGAAACAAAATACTCCCTAGATTAGCAAATGGCATCTGAATAGATAATATTCATCTACTTCTGATTCTAAATGTATTTGTAGTGGGGTTTGATTTTTTAAAAATGGTTAATCAACAAAATTACACAAGAATGGCACCGGTTTCCATAAATATTTTGCCATTTTTTAATCTTTCAATGCCTCAAGTAGTGACAATAAATAAATGAAATCTGTTCCTTTAGAAGTAGCCATGATAGTCTATAATATAATACCAAAATCTTTTTCCTCAGAAACTATCAATTTATTATACAGTTAATATTTTGAAAGCAGACCTTTCTTTAAAACCTGAGGAACAATTGGGCAAAGGAATTTTTAAGAAACTTTTGCATTTACAAAATCTCCCATATTTTCCCACCTTTTCTCTTCCATCTTTTTGCTTTCCTGAAAGTTCATTAAGGAGGGAAAGCAGGTATATAGTTCCATGTCTCTTGCGTTGATAGCACTAGGACAGTGTTTCTCAATTTTGGCCATTGCAAAATACGTGGACTTCAATTCCCAGAATTCCGTAGGGAACATAGCTATCTGGAGAATTCTGGGAGTTGAAGTTCACACATTTTAAAGTTGCTTAAATTGAGAAAACTAGGAATTAATTATTTGCAACAGGAAGTGGGGGCAGTAGGTCCAATCCCATATGCCAGACTGGACCATCTGATTTGTGGATGTCAGGGTGAGGCCATGCTATCTCCCCCCCTTTGCTAGCTGCTCTGTGTTTTCCCTGCCTGTTGGTATCATCCCTTCCCCACAACCAGCTGTTCTGGGCTGTCCTGCCAGCATGTCTGGCAAATGTGTCAGACAAGCCACTCCAGATTTGTCTGACCTATGTTTTCTTCCATTGGGAAAGCGTATATCAAAATATAAGGATTTCTGCTCTGATAGGAACCCTCCTTTAACTGCAAAACTTCTAAATATGTTTTTGAAGATTAAGCGCAGTTGCGTGGTTTCAAGTCAGTAGAAGTTAATTTAGTCAGAGATGAGGCTTTGTTGCAACCTAACAAGAACAAAGGATTTAATTAACAATGGATTATGTTGCAGGGTTTCTGTAAGATGTATTTTAGCACAACCACTCAGTCTACAACCGAGGTAGAATAGTGAATGACATTGGAATAAAATAATAGCGAATGATGTTGGAGGTTTGTTATGTGTTGTTTTTTCTAGCTAACCTACAGTGCAGTAAGGAAATAAAAATACTGAATAATGTTATGGGATATTATAATCTGTATTTCATTCACTCTTCATTCAAAATTTAATATAGCTGAACAACATTATAGGATGCACTCACCCAACATAAATAAGGTGATTATTGCATCAGCCAATGTACTGAGTTTGTACAGTACGCTGAACCATAGTCTAACCAAATGACCTGTGTTTTTCTTACTAGAGAAAAACTAACCAAGTTAGCTTTTAGTAAATGCAGCTGCTAGGTGTGTAAGTAACTGTGAACTACTATGAACCACTCAGAATCTGTGCTATAATATTTAGGATGAATCATGTTGTGTGGTTGTCATACTCTGCTTTCTCCCATATCCTTCCATTCTGCAGTATGTGCAATGAGTGGAATTTCCTATCTGTATTTTATGAACAAGGCTGTTAGTTTAACATGTCATGCTAAATAAGAACAGGATGAGAAAAGAATAGGAATAATTCGCTGCTATCTTCTTCAGCTGGGAGACTAGATGGACAGATGCCCTCTTCCAGTTATTTCCACATCTTAGTTTCCTTCACTGATTTGTGTGAGTAGAGCTCACTTCCATGCCCAGGGATATTTAAATTATCTTTTCAGGAAAGATGCCTGTGGCTGATGGTGCATCACTTTTTGGTTAGATGCTACAGAGTTATTTTGAAGATGACTAAGTTAAAACAAACTGGACAGCTGCTTTTTACTTTTCATGCTTGAAAGGAGATGCTCACCAGTGGATGTGTTCAGCAATAAGCCACAGTTTGGCTTTTGGGGTCATTTCAGTATCCAACTAATGTTTAGTCCTAAGAGCTCCCTTTTTAGTTTTCTTTCTAAAGATTTCTTGAACTAACATATTGGCAAGAATTCTTTGGAGTCTCTTGACATCTCACAGTTATATATGGAACTTGCGGTTTTGACTACATAGAAATTGGCATTCCCCTTGAAGATTAAAATACATAAGAAAATAGACATGTTAGAAGTCTATCCATAATACAGGTAGTCCTCGACATACGACAGTTCTTGTTCTGACCTAGGATTCCTGAGACAGTAAAAAGCACACACTTAGTTCCAAAAACCCTCTTTTTATTTCAATGGCTGTGAATTATATTCATTCACAGCCTGTAATGAGTCATAAATAGTTTGTAAAGAGTCCGACAGAAGTCTGCCAAACTCTTTCAGGATAAGGCTGATAGGCACCCACCTTTATCTCCCTTGAAATGCTGCCAAAGACCTAATTGGCAATTAACTTTGCAAGGCCACACAGAGCACAGAGTCAAAATGGAGCTTCAGACTTTAAACTGACCAGAACGAACAAAGTTGCTTCCTGCAAAGGCTCACGTGCCTTTGCTCCTCCTTTATATCTTATGGGAGGGGCCAATCACCTCCAAGTCTTACTCCTTAGTTGCCCCTTTTGTCTTAACTGTTCTTGCCTTTTGGCAGCTCTGTGCATGTGCGCACTGGGAACAGTTCCCCCCCTGTTCCTCTGCCTTGCTGATGTCTGACTCCAGAGGCAGCACATAACTCCCAGATGGTCCTGACCCCCCCTCTGCCTCAGACGCAGAGCCCTCATCTGAGCCTTCCCCAGGCTTCAGGACTGGCCCATGTTCCTCCCCAACCTCCTCACTGGCCGACTCTGCTGTCAGCTCCGCAGGCTACTGGCGGACCACAACAGTTCCTTTAGTGACCATTTGAAGTTATAATGGCACTCAAAACGTGACTTATGTCCATTTTTCACATTTAAGACCTTTTGCGGTATCCCCATGATCAGGTGATCAGAATTCGGATGCTTGGCAACTGATTCATGTTTATGATCACTGGTGTGCCTCAGGGTTATGTGATCCCCTTTTGCGACCTTCCAACAAACACGGTCAATGGGGAAGCAACTGGTTCCCAACTGGTTTACTAACTTATCAACTGCAGTGATCCACTTAATAACTGTGGCAAGGAAGGTTGCAACATGGGGCAAAACTCACTTAACAAACGTCTCACCTCTCAACAGAAATGTTGGGCTCATAGGTTGAGGACTATCTGTATTGTAGACCATAAGTTGAGGAAAGAGCCAACTTAATCATTTTTCCCTTCGCCAAACCATTTTTGGGATTGCATCCTCTCTTGCAAGGAGAACGTATGGGTACCGGTAAGTCTCCACCAGGGATAAATTAATGCTGTCCAGCAATGAAAGAGTCATATCTCTCCTCACTGCCTGTTCTTACTATTGCTTGGTCTTTTTATTTATGGAAAAGGTGATAGACTATCACTGTGCTGGGAGCAGGGGTGGGAAAACAAGAAGGGCATGTTTGATCTGTTACCTTTGCTGTGCAATGCCCTCATTCTGGCAACATTGCTTGGTCTTGCTCAGCTTGCTGTAACTACATATTGGGAACGAGAATGAAGCGTGAGAAAGTGCTCAAAGTGCATTACAGGTAGTCCTCAATTTAACAACAGTTTGCTTAGTGACCATTTGAAATTACAATGGCACTGGAAAAAAAGCGACATGACCATTTTTCACATTTGCAACTATTGCAGGGTCCCCCTGGTCACAGAATTAAAATTCAGACCGTTGGCAACTGTTTGTATTTTTGACGGTTGCGGTGTGTTCTGGGGCCATGCGATTTCCTCCTTTTGC